GAGTGCCAGACACAATTTTTGAGATGCAAATCTCCAGCCTGCTTCATGGGAGGCATTAAAAGCTGAATCCACAGAAAACAAGCCTCTGAAATTGTGCTCTTCAGTGCTAACGGTTCTGAAAATATGCCAAAAATAAAAGAGGTCTTTGAGACATACTCAGCTGCATTTCTACAATTTAGAAAGACTCTCAGCAGGCTTCACATCCAACCAGGATTCTGCAGTTTCTGTGAAGACCTTATCAATGGCTACAATAACCTCTTTCAGCTATTTGATTATATTCAGAATATCCCAGCTGACACAAACCTGCCCAATCCCCACCTGAAGAGCAGCGATTTTATGAAATTGTTTCACAAATCACAAGTCTCTGCAGTCCAACTGATCTTCTCAGGATTCTTGGAGCGTAGAAAGAGAAGCAAATAAAATCACTCTTTTCTCACTTCCTACTGAAGTCTCATTATTCACACCCCAGGAGCAACAGAGAAGCCACTTTATAATCACACATTCACACCACTGAGCAACTCACAACTAGAGAGCTCACTACTAAGTGGTGACAATTTCCCTGTTTCCCATATGGCACAGAAGAAATACAGCTCCAGACAGAGCTTTCTGCAGCCCACTGGGACAGCCTCATTCTTTGCAGACCTATTCATATCTCTGTTAAGCCCTAGAGTAGTGCCACAAGATACCCAAGTGTCTGGCACACCCTCCCAAAGCTTGAACACCTCTGTGAAAATGAGTAGCACCATCAGGTACGTGCAGATGGTTTGCAAAAGGCAGCATTTCCAAAGTGATTGGAAGTTGTTATCCTGTGTATCTATTCAAGGCTGCTTTTTAAATAGAAGACAAGCTGGTCCATCAGTGTGATGTTGCAGTCTAGCTCTGCCTCACTCCTAAGCGTAAATTTTAAATGTACTCCTCCCCTCTCCACACACTCTTTGCAATGCAGTGTATTTCAGATCCAGCAGATGCTTGTCTTGTTCCTAAAACAGACTTAATGTGTTTTCCATGATCTAAACACCTGGCAAAGGGGCTCTGTGCAGATCTAATACTTTCCTAGCCCCATGTTAAATTTGTCCCAGTGTTGCCTATAGCATAATTCTGCAGCCATGTCAGCTATTCAGGTAATGCCAGAGTGTCATCGTCACCGTTTGTGTCAACAGCATGATCTGGATGTACCTTGTAATCATCCTGGTGTTGGGTTGCAAAGGTCCTTGGACTCTTCATTTGGCTGAGTCTAATTCTGTCCACTTCACAAAGATCTAGAGTTACACTAAGTAAAGGTTGACATTTACATGAGACACCAGGACTGCTAGAATGACTCACCAAGGTAAAACCTTGGCTAGATATTCTTTCAAGGGCGTAAATTGTAGGGTGATGACTCTTCACAGACTCGTAACATCACAGAATGGTTTGGGTTGGAAAGGGTTTTAAAGACCATCTCAACTCCCTTGCCATGGGCAGGGACACCTTCCACTGTCCCAGGCTGCTCCAAGCCCCATCCAGCCTGGCCTTGGGCACTTCCAGGGATGGAGCAACCACAGCTTCTCTGGGCACCCTGAGCCAGGGCCTCCTCACCCTCACAGGGAACAAGGTCTGCTAACCTGCTGTAGAAACCTCTCTGCTTAGCAAGGCAGACACAGGCAGAGGGGCAGATCACACACAGGCTGTGGGATCAGGGTCTCAGAAGTCTGAGAACTGACAGCTACAGAAGCCTGGAGCATCACTCATAAGGAAAAGGAGATGTGCCAGAGAGAAAACAGATACCTCAGAGTGACCTTGCAGTGTTTTCTTGGAAACTGAATGACCTCCTCTCATTTGTACTGCTGAGTTGGAGAGCCACACACAGAGGACAGCTTTGGCCTCCTACAGAAGGCCACTATTTCAACCACGTGGAACCAATTAGTAGTGGCAGAGCTTGTCAGCATTGCAGCCAGTGCCCAAATGCTCTCAGGACATTTACTCTCCCAAATACACTCTGCCCTTTAAAGCAGCACCAGCCATCATGTTCTGCAGGCTTGAAAGTCTCCTGGTTTACTAAAAATCTTCAGCCCTCAGGTCATTAGGTCTCAGTCAAAATCAGGGAGTTCAGAATAAAGCAGTGACTGTCCCAGCACTGAAGCTCATAAGCCTTTTATTTGTTCCCATGAACTCTCCTTTACCTAAATCTAATATTAACAGTGAGAGCATCCAAGACGCTCATGGGAAGCAAACTGTGAAACAGAGGGACCACACAAGAGGAGGTGAGAACAGAGCATCCAACGTGAGCCATGTGTGTGAAGGATGGGTTTGTCTACAAACAGAGGTGCTGCCAGCAACGTGGATTTCAAGGATGGCTTCTGCTTTTTAGTACACACCTGCAGCAGCCAAGAACAAGCAGAATTCCCAGTAATGGGGTTTTCACTCAGCTGAACTGACAGGATGTGCCCTGATGAGAGGTTAACCCAGCCTTTCTCAAGCTCTGGCAGCTGCAGCAGCCCATGTAGAGCTGCCTGCATTTCCTGTGGGAACACTGGCTGCCTGGTGTGTCACAGGGCATCAGGCCAGGCACACTTGCAGCCCTGACAGCCACCATCCCTTGGCCATGGTCTCTGCCACGTCAGGAGGTCTTAGCAGCAGGGATCACATCGAGGAACTGATGCCACGCAACCCAGGAACTGTCTTGAGCACAAACTCATGAGCTGCTGCTATTCCTGCTTAGTGCTAAAGTTCAGTGCCTCTTTCATCATACTGGAAACTTGTCAGGAGCTGCTCTCATCCAGTTCAGTGGAGCAGCCTCTCTCCTTGCTCCTCGCCCCAGACACAGTCTGTGCAATGCCTCCTGCAGCACCTCCCTGTGCTCTGGTCCCACACCACAGATGGCCACAGTCCCCTCTGACAGCAGAACCTCTGTGCCCTCTGCTTCTGTGCATGTTTTGTGTGAGGCCAGACTGATCATGGACTTGGAAACAGAGTGGAACATGAGGAGTGGTGGCAGTTCTGAGGATGATGAAGTCTTTTGTTGTGCCGAAAAAGAAGGGGCAATGATCCTCCAATGCAGTTTTGTTAATGGTGTCTCAGGTGCATGGGACACTTTTTAAAGCAGATATGTCAGTCCAGGAACTCATTTCACAATCTGAACATGTCTGATTTTTCATCACCCTTTTTCTTTGGAAGCAAAATAGAAAAAAACCCAAATCATGCAATATTCCAGGTCCTGAAAACTGACTATACCAACTGTTACCTGACAGGCTGGAAGGCAGCACCACGGGAATCGGTGGTGGAGTCCAGCCAGCATTGGTTTGCAGTGGGAACCCAGGGCAACTCAAAAACATTCCCAGGCCCTGCTCCCACATCCAAGGGTTTGGGATTGTCCAGCAGCCCTTGCATCACAGCTCAGCCCTGCTGATGGCCTCATGCTATCATCTTGGACAGGAGCCATCCATGTAACTTGGGTCCTTTATAGAGGTCTGTATCAATAACCTTGTTAAAGTGTCTCCATGCTCTGGAGGTGACCTGAGCCTACTCTCAAATACTCAGGATGCTTCTATTTCCTCTGTGTGACCCCAACCAGCCTATGTCCAGTTCACAGAACAGTCATTGCTGTGCTGTAAGGAAAAGGAGGTAGCTCTAAACACACACTGCTTTATGTTTGTCTCTGCAGGTTCTCAGGGTAAATCCGAAGGCTAAGCCTCCTTGCAAGTCCCAGCATCCTGTCAGGGCCAGAGGAATGTCACAGTAAGTGATCCAAATATTATTGGATCAAGTATTCTCAGCCTCCTAAAGCCTCTGTCTCCATCCTGCCCTGTTTTTTTTCCCCACACACTAGGTAAAAGCAGAGAGCCACCAGTGTTTTTCTGTCCATTGGTTCCTCAGCCAGTGCAGTCTCCCACAACCATTCAGCTCACCAGAGCTGCACCACTTTAACTCAGCCTTATCTACTGACACTCAAAGAGCAGTTACACACGTTTTAAATTATTATTTACAGCATCCTAGAAATATTTTGCAAGGATCACCTCAGGCTCATCTTCAGCAAGAGGCTAAGAGGCAAAGGTCAGCATTAATTCCAAGGTCTGGATCCTAAGCCCTGAAAAGGGCTCTCTGGCCTGGAACATTTCCTGGTCAGAATTGCCAGGAACTGATGGAGCCAGTGACAGGGCTGGAAATGCCCAAGGGGCTGCCACAGTTACACTCCAAAGATTCACTTCAGAACAGAGAGCTGGCTTAGAGCACATATGTGGCCAAGAGCTGGGGAAGCCAGAGCACCTAGAGACAGATTCACACCTTAAACCAGGCTGGGAGGGAAAGAGATGAAAACATGGGTTATTTCAAAGATCAGGCTGTAAAAAAAGGCCAGTGTCACAGCAAAACAAACCCAAGCTCTTCAGTTGCACATTTATATGCAAGACACACGGTTCCAAAGCTAAATGAGACAGAGATGAGTGTGCATCAACACTCCACCATGGAACAAGGACATATCTTGCACTGCAAATATTTGATCATCTCAAAACTGCCTTTCTTGCTAATCAGAGGCCTTACTGGAACTTCTGTGACAGCTGAGCTTTAACAGAGGATGTCAGGACAGTAGAAAAATCCTGCTCATTTCTCTATGTTCAGCCTCACTGTAGCAATCACAGACACGACCCAAGCCAGGGAGTGCCAGACCTGGGACCAGCTAAACCTGGTCAGGATCCCTGTAGAAGGGGACAGCTCTGGCAGCAGCACTGATCTTTGCACAGAGGCTGCAAGATGTGGGCAATTAATTGGCTTAAAGCTCTGAGCAGCATTTACTGGTTATCAGCTCCTCTTCCCACTCACTTGATGTCTGCAGGCCAGAGAGTTGTTTCCTCTTAAAGCACCTGAGTGGAGGAGACTCTCCATGGGATATTTCCTAGCCCAGAACATGAACAACAGATAAAACACCCTGAATCTTCTTGTCCTTCAAAGGAAAGTGCCAGCAATGCAGCCAGGCCTCTGCATGTGAAAAATTCAATCTATAAAAATCTCTTTTCTTTGCCTTCTAGATGCAGAGTCCCTCACTGAGCCTGTCTGGGTCTGCCTATGGAACCACACCTGTGTTTACAAAGGTAAAGAGCACAAGAACAACACAGCCCATCCTGCAACTCCCAGCATTAGATTTTGCATTTTCTTGTTCCATCAGAAGGCATTTCTAGGCTGGAATATTGGTTCATTTACAATTCAAAAAAGCTAGCATACCTTTTTAGTGATGTTATCAAACTAACATCTTAATTGGTAAACGATCCAGACAGAGCCACTTACAGGAATTAATCTCATTTACTTCCTGCAAAGGAGGCTGAAGTGGGAACCTCACATTGTAATCACCCTTATAATGCTGCATCCAGAGGAATAGAAGCTTTTCCTGAATTTGTATCTTTATTTAAATGCAGAAGCAGGGCTTTAATGAATGTTGGTCTTCTGGTGAAAAAAATTCGACTCACAACCCACTGCAAATGCATTTAGAATTCAGACAACTATTGCAAGCAAAATGAAAATACAGACGAGAGCATCTTCCTCCCTGAAGGGTGTATCATGTCATATAAATGCCTCAGTGGGGAAATACTTATATGGGGAAGTACTTATATCAAGCATTTAACACAAATCTTTTCTCCTCCAGGGTCTACAAAACATAAGAGCCACCAAGGGTCAGTTGGTGGTGTTTGAGTGCCGTGTTCACTCCACTCCCCCCCTGCAGGTGCACTGGTACAGGGAGTACGACCAGATCCTGGATTCTGCTGATTTCCGAACCCTGAGGAAAAGTAGGTGCTGCTGCAGCTCTTGGTGCACAGATATTGCACTGGGACAGGGGCAGGACAGGAATGAGAACTGCTATAAGAAGCAGGAGATGTTCATAGGAGCAGAGTTTACAGGATCAGGTGACCCCAAGTCGCAGGCTGCTGCTGCTGCTGCACAGTTTGCACTTCCCCTGGCACTGCCTGAGTGGGTCAGGCACAGCAGGGGCAGATTCCAGGCTGTGATTAATGACAGCCCTGATGAGCCATGGAGGCACTGCTGCCATGTGCTAGAACTGCTGATGAACTCAGGGGAAAAAGGCATAATCTCATTGCAAACCATTTCTTATACTGCCAGGCGTGAGGTCAGAGCTCCAGAGGGCCAAACTCACAGCAACCAGCTCCAAAGTCAGTGGAGCTTTTTGTGTTATCATCTCAGTGGAGCTCTTTGTGCATCACCTCAGTGGGGAGGTGTTTGTACCACCAGGTCCCCCAGCCACACCTGAGCTTTCCCTATCCACATGCCATTCCCTGTGATGCACAGAAAGGAGAGGGTTCCTTTGTGACCATGGTGACAGCTGAGGTGGGGAAGGGAGTGAGGGATGAAGGGTTTGGGGTTTTTCCATTCTGACATTATAATAATTTAAGTTCTTTCTCTCTTATCTTGAGCAGAGGCTTGTTCATCAGCAGTTCCTGGTAAGTACACTGTGCATTTTTGGTTAGACTCCTCACCACACTCAGTATTTCCCACCTCATCCAAAATAAAACAATATCCAAAGGTAGGCAGAAGACAAAAGTCAGGCCAAGAGCTTTCAAGTTCTTAATTTTGCTGCAAGCACCCTGATTTTTTCCACAACAGTTGGAAAAAGGTATCAATCCTTTTACATTCAGCCAATTAAGAGTACCCTGTGCTAAGAGAAAGCATATCTACCATTCTGACCTATAATATTTTAAATTTGTGCAAGAAATAACAGAATTTAGAAAAAAGAAAAAACACAACCAAAAAAAAAACAACTAAACAAACAAAACACCACAAAAAATGTGCTTTGTTTCATTAATGTCACAGGAAGAGTCTTCTTTAATCTTTCTCCTTCTAAACCCCTTGACTTCCCATGCCCTCTACATCACTTTTTTGCACTTTATAAGTGCAAATCCCCACCTCTAAGTAAAAAGTCCTGTAAAGAGCAGCTCCTACAGGTTAGCATCTGCCTCTTGTGCTACAACATCATGCCTGAATCTCTTATTTCAGAGGAAGTCTGCACCCTGGTTATTACAGAAGCTTTCCCAGAAGACTCTGGAATATTTAAATGTGTTGCTGAAAATGAATTTGGGTCTGCAGCATCCAGTGCACATCTCTCTGTTTCCCCAGGTAAGCACATGGATTTCTGTGTTGAGCAACTAAACACAAAAGAATTTGCTGCTGCTCAGCATCAGGCAGAATCACAGATATTTCCCAAGTAGAAGCCACACCAAAACAATTTTGTAGGCTCAAGAGAAGATAAGTGCCCCCAAAAAAATGCATTCTGCTTGGGTAGCTCTCAGAGCTGGATGCAGGTTGTTCTGTGTTTGGGGTTTTGGTCCCTTTCCATCCTGGCTCAAGGATGACAAGGTGGAGCTGCTGTTCTCTCTCTCAGAGGAGTCTCATCCCTGAGCTTCATCCCTCCAGGGATTCCAGCTTGGCCCAACACATTGGCCATGTCTATACCTGGTTTGTGGTTCCACCTGAGCTCTTTGGCTTGTGCTGGAAGCCATCTGCAACCAGAACAGCCCCTGGCATGTGCCCAGAGCTCCCCAGCCCTGCCAGAGCCAGGTTTGGCTCATGCTGGTTTCAGTCTGTGCAGAGCAGAATGAGCCTCATCCTCCTGCTCAGGCATTCCAGCCTCCCATCCCATTGCTGCACTGGTGAGCACTGGTGAGCACCACTGCTCCTACTGACATGGGGACAATTCTGCTGCACTGGTGAGCACCACTGCTCCTGGCTGACCTGGGGACAGTTCCACTGCACTGGTGAGCACCACTGCTCCTGCCTGACCTGGGGACAATTCCACTGCACTGGTGAGCACCACTGCTCCTACTGACATGGGGACAATTCCGCTGCACTGGTGAGCACCACTGCTCCTACTGACCTGGGGACAATTCTGCTGCACTGGTGAGCACCACTGCTCCTACTGACCTGGGGACAATTCCTCTGCACTGGTGAGCACCACTGCTCCTGCCTGACCTGGGGACAATTCCACTGCACTGGTGAGCACCACTGCTCCTTGCCTGACATGGGGACAATTCCACTGCACTGGTGAGCACCACTGCTCCCTGCCTGACCTGGGGACAATTCTGCTGCACTGGTGAGCACCACTGCTCCTGCCTGACCTGGGGACAATTCCACTGCACTGGTGAGCACCACTGCTCCTGCCTGACCTGGGGACAATTCTACTTCCAGGAGCTAAAGAGCTGGACAGCTTTGGAGGTGCTGCCCCCAGGGCAGCTGTGCAGGTCACCATGAAGAGGCCCAGCTTCCCCAGGAGCAGCCAGGCAGGAGCCAAGGAGCGTGGGGCAGCTGCTCTGCCCTCCTACAGCCCAGAGAGCCCCGGGCTGGGCCCTGCAGGCTCCAGCTTGGGCCAGAAGAGCTCCAAGAGCCAAGCTGAGGAGTTCCATGGGGCTTACGAGAAGTCACCTCGGGCTTCACCTCTGAGGTAAGACAGAGGGAAATTCACAGCCCTGGGCCAGCTGTGTACAACACTGAGAGCATGAACTGCCCAGGGATCCCAGCTCACACTGCAGTGCCCCTGAGCCTGGCAGGGACCAGGCACAGCCTGAGCTGTTTGCCTGGTGACAATGACAATGTGCAGCACCAGCCTGGCAGTCACAGCCTGGGCTCCATTTGACCAAGGGTGTGACCACCTAAAGCACCAGGGAAGGGCCTGGAGTTGTTTGCAGGAGTGCCTGTCTGTGTCTAACCCAAAACCATCACTCCAAATAATTGTCCTCTAGGAGACCTTTAACTCCACAGCAGGGCATGAGGCAGAGATCACAGTACCTGGGGAATCTTAAGGTACAATTCTGTTGCCACCACCTTCCTTGGTGGCCTTGGTCAAGTGGCATCACCTCATGTTTCTGTTTCCTATTCTGAAAGACAGCAATAAAACTTGAGATCCTGTATGCATGATGCAGACAGGACTTGCAAAGCACTCTGTGGAGGAAAAGCACTGAACCAGTTCCCCAGTGCATGGAAGGAAAACTGTCCCACACCATGGCAGGGACACCCCCCACTCAGGAGATGGAGATCTCCCCCCAGTAATTCAGTATTCCATTTTATAACAAGACTTGATCCAATTTCCATCCCAAATGCAGCTCTCAATGCACACTTACTGCACTATCAGTTCTCCTGTTCGATTGCTCCAGAGAAACAAATCAGGTTGGGAAGCATGGATTGGTGACATCATCCCCATTTCTGGAGGGCTTCTCAGGGGTTTGTAGACATAATGATGACCTGGAATGGTGACAGTTCAGCCATCCAAGCCAGCAGAGGATTCCCCCAGTGTGCAGGGACAGGGAGAGCTGTGTGGGGGCAGAGGTGTGCCTGCTCTCCCAGCCGAGTGCCAGCCTGCAGCTGCAGGGATCCTGTTACAGGCTGTGGAAAGGCTCTCCCTGACAGAGACCATTCCCTGCATGAGAGATTATTTTTGGATGTACTCGGCCATTTTAACTAAACCAGTTATTTTAACAATTCTGAGCAGCCTCCTTCAAATTTTAGCACAGGAGAGATCACATTCAGTACAGATGTCTCCATGCAAGAGAGTTACTTTTTTGCTAAATCACTGAATAAAAATGGTTTTGCTTCAATAACCAGCATGCAGATCACTAAGAGAAAGTTCTGTTCTCAGTTTGACTTCAAGCCCTTCTATGAAATCCAGGCTTGCTCCAGGAAAGTCAGCTGGGACCCTAAGCAGACCCTAATGCATAAAGGGATTTACCTTGCCACCAGAATCAGCTATGTAATAGTGTTTTAAAATGTAGGTTACATATGTGTGTGTGTGTGTGTGTATATATATATATAAATGTAAACAAAAACATTAACTACTCCAGACTTTTGACACATCTCAAAATACAGACAGAAACTATTAACATTTCTAGATATATCCATCTATGAGAATTTAAATACCTTTAAATCCCACAGACATGCTGCCAGGTGCTTTGAAACATCATTAAGAATGTGACTCAGCATTGTAAATGTTGCTGCTACCTCAAACTCAGCAATCATGGCTAATGGCTGGCTGTAAAATAACTGTCTTGTTAGTCAGATTTAGCATATAATTCCCTCATGTAGTGAATGTGGTTGCAACTGTATTACCAAAGGCAGCTACCAACAAAGGCAGTGATGACAGAACAAAGCCATTACTGGGAATAGCTGTAAAATGAATGAAATCCTTGTACCCGTATTCTCCCAATTATTGCCTAGCAACAGGCACTCCACAAAAGCCAGAAAATGCAATTCAAGACTGCCACTACCAGCTACTCCTTTCTGAGCCCTTTACACCTGCAGCTTGTGGTGTCCTCAACAGCCTTGAAGCAGAATAAAACCATTGCTGATTACTAACTTCATTAAAGAAACTCAATCCAAGCAAAAGAAGAGGCTTCAGGCACTAATATACTGCCAGGTATTTTAGTATTCAGCTTTTAAGTATCTTAATTAATAAGCAACAGATCCTTAACTCTTTTTCTATGCATTTTTTGCTATATGACTCAAGCAGTGAGGAGAAAGAACCCAATCAGAAGCAGCAGGGCACCATTCTTAGAGAGTAAACTGAAGCAGGACAGAAAATCTGATTTCTGACACCTCGCAGTGCTGGCCACGGTGCTATTGAGTTACTTGGCACAGGGGATGAGATTTATTCCTCTGCCTTCATCAGTTCAGCTTCCAGTTCTCTCACCTTTTTTCCTACCTTCTGGACGTCACGGTTTCCTGTTCCTTCTCTTTCGCACAAGCTGTCCCGGTTGTGTCCGCTCTTTTAAGTGTGTAAAACTCTCCTTAAATCGATGCCTCGCAGCCGAGTTTAGTGCTGAGTTGAGGTTGGTGGGAAGCCAGGGAGCCCGAGCACGGAGCCTGCCCTTTACCGTGCTCACAGCTCCCCGCAGGGCAGTGATCGTCACCCGGGTACCTTTTTTCAAGTACTCGCCTCTCTCTGTGCAAACCACTTCCTTTTCATTATTTTTGTTTCTTTTTTTCTTTTCTTTTTTTTTTTTTTTTTTTTTACGTAAAAAGCAAACAGCCTCTCAAACAAGTAGGAACGAATTCCCTCCCTTAATCACTTTCATGCGAGGAATTTATATAAATTAGCACTCAATTAACACCTGCTCTGTAATTTTCGTTCACAAACGATGTTTAAACACTAACACTAGAGGTGGATTAACCTCGTGAAGATCTCCGTGCTGACAGACTGCCGGGCAAGGGAAGGAGATGGGAGCAGCTGAGAGCCCGCACACAGCGGAACTTTCGGGCTTGGCGTGGTTTTAAACAATAGGCGATAAACTTATAAGCCATAAGTATGTTGGGCGTATACTTGTGCCGAAGTATAATTAAGATATTTAAAACACTATAATATTAATTTAAGATGTAATTAGGCATTGAAGCTGGCGATGAAAGGGATACGAATCACCCAACCTGCCAGCGGTACCTGCTGCTGTTCTGGTGAAAACACCACCGCTGCGTTTTTTCATCCATGTAAACAGCTGTAATGACACAAACAGCAATATATTAATATATTTTATCCTGTATTTTTATAACATTCTTTCCTCAATGCTGGTTAAACTGAGCTTGTTACTCAGTTTGTGGCTGCTCAGACGCATCCTGACCGAGCCCCGCACCGGAGCGCGGCTTGGGTCGCCCGGGGCCGGGGGAGCTGACCCCGGGCACGGAGGGAGGGCTCGCTCGGGTCTGGGCTGAGGAGAGTTAAACCACGTTTAAACCTGGCTCTAGAGTGTGTGTTTAGTGCACAGCCTTAAAATCGGTACCAGGGCTTTATCACTACAGAGGCAACTAGCTACAAATTAGTAAATGAATTAAACAAGGAATTTAGAGCCACTGAATGGTTTGGGCTGGAAAGGACCTTAGAGATGACCTTTTTTCTGCCATAGGCAGGAACACATTTCACTAGACCAGATTTTTCAGGGCCCCGTCCAACCTGGCCTTGAACACCGGGGATGGGTCAGTCACAGCTTCTCTGGGCAAGCATTTCCTTGGGATAGCAAAGTGGGATTTCGGGACGTTCGAGCATATTGTGACAGTCCTTGCTGCTGCTCCCTGGCGGTGCCAAGGGCAGAACAGCTGCTTTCTGTTCAAAAGCTGCCCACTTCTGCGGGTCTGTGCCTTCTGCTGAGCCAGGGACGCCCCCGGCAGCGCTGAGCCGCGACCGCTGCCCCTCGGGGCCGGGACAGAGCAGGGATAGAGCAGGGACAGAACCGGGACAGAGCAGGGACATAGCCGGGATAGAGCAGGGATAGAGCTGGGGCAGAGCCGGGACAGAGCAAGGACAGACACAGGGCAGAGCCAGGACAGATCAGGGACAGAGCCGGGTTGGCCGGGACACAGCAGGGACAGAGCCAGGACAGAGACGGGCAAAGCCGAGCTGGCCGAGGCACAGCAGGGACAGAGCCGGGACAGAGCAGGGACAGAGCCGGGACAGAGCCGTGCCGGCCGCTCCGAAGCAGCAGCAGCAGCAGCAGCGGCAGGAGCGGCAGCGGCAGGAGCAGGGGCTCGGAGCGCCGGGCGGTCCCAGCGCTGCCGCCGCGGATCCGCTGCCCGCGGGCACCTGCCCAAGTGCCAGCCCCGGCCCTTGCCCAGCGTCCGGCTGTGTAAGGAGACTCTTATTGTGACAGCGGCGGGGGCCGGGGACAGGCAGGGCCCGCGGTGTCACCGCTGGCAGCACATTAAAGCCTCCGGGCTCGTCCCGCCGCGCAGAGGGCGGCTATGACAGTGAATGACCGTCCTTCCCAAAATACCGGCCACGGCCCAGGTGACAGCTCCTAGGCTGTAGGTAAGGTGCTTGTTGGGGTTCTCTCACGTCACTTTCCACTTGGAGGCTGGTCAGGGAGGTGGCGAGAGGGACTGCTGGGAATGCTAAGGTGGAACCGCACCTGGAGGGTGCGGCGGTGTCGCAGGGAACGTGGGCAGCAGCAGAGCCAAAACACGGGCTTGGTTTTCAGCAGGAAAAGTGCCCCTGCTATTACTTACTGTTTTCATCTTGTAAGGTCGAATGTCTCTTCGGATTTTTATTTTTTCCCTCCCAAATCAAGGTGGAACGATTTGAGGAAAACATGGCTTATCCCCCCTTCCTGTGAGAAGTGACGCTGCGCACCAGAGCTTGGTTAAGGGCAGTGTTCTAAAAAACAGAGTAAACGCTGGTTGCTGTCCACAGCCTGTGGTGCAGTGAATGCACAAATCCGTGCACAGGTAGTGATATAAAAACGGGATAAAGACAAGACTGAACGAGTTTTCTGCACTAGTGAATGGGGACATAGTGTGGACATGCTCCAGAAGTTTGAGCCAGCTTCAAATTCCAAGAGTATGACAAGGGAAAAATTAGGGGATTTTTACTATAAGGCCTCTGTTTACTTACAGCTAATTCACAACTAATATTGATGATTACCTGCAGGAAATGAAAGCCTTGAGTCCTTAATATCAGAGCAATGTCTCCACTTATCTCCCCCCATGGGAATTTATGACCTCGTGGAGCCCTTCTCTGGGCTCTCCAACGAGAGGAATACAATACACTGGGTGTATATATAGCAGTGAAACAGCTGATCTCAGTGGGGCAAGATTACAATTTTTTCCAGCACATGTAACTGTGGGGATTTATATTCCTTTTCTTCTTCTTCTTCTTCTTCTTTTTTTTTTTTTTTTTTTGAGCGGCTTTATGCTTATTTTGGAGGATTATTTTTTTATCCTGGAGCTGAAGTAATTTGTCCATTTTAAAAAGCTTGCTAAATGAAACTCTCCCAGGTTTTGAGTTGATGGAAAGCCTGGGTTTTTAGATATCAAGCATCTACCTGCAAAATAAATCAGGACTCTGAGCAGCTCAGCTTGCCCTACCTTATCTTGCAGCTCATGTCCTTCTGGCAATTAGCAGCCTTAATAGCAAATATCAGGAAATCACCTCAAACAGAGACACACAGTCCTTGGCATTCGAATCCCAAATCTCAGCTCTATATTAGAAACTCTGAATTCAAAACCCATTAGAGAAGAAATCAGGAGATTTGGTTTCAAAAGTTTCATTTTAGACTTGAAAGTGAAACTTTTGTGCTTCCCTATGGTACAAGGAATTTCTTGGCACAGAGAGGTTCTGGGAAATAGTACATTTAGCATTTTGACAGGGCACAAAACAGCAGGATCCAGGGATCTGTAGTTAAGATGATACATGGGAAACTACCTGGCTTAACAGTAGTATCTGTGTTTATCTATAGATTTAGGCAGGTGGTTAACCAATTGCTGTTTCCTTTAGCATTTACTGGACTCTGGCATATAAGACAAGCCTGGTGATCATTGCACCTGAGCCAGGCAGACTGTGTGGCTTGTTACTGTAACTCAAAATGCTCATACAGTTGTGGGACAGTTCTAACAAATCCTAAATAGCTTTATTTTAAGTTCAAGGTTTAATTTAGTTGAACTTTAACTTCATAGTGTTTGATTTGCTAGTGGCTGCTCAGAACACAGTATTTTGGTGATTCAGCTTGTGATGTACAATTTATTTTATCTGTATTGTCTTCCTTAAGGGAAAATCCACTCCAAGAAAGCCTCTATTCTGCAAGGCAAAGGTTCCATTCTATCCAGGAGCCCAGCCAGGAAAACTTTTGTGGCCTGTCACCTAGCTTTTACCAGCCACCTATCCAAAGCCAGTTATCACCAACAAAAACCCAGGACAGCCGTGAAACCTCTCCTATGAGTGTCCCTAATCTCCCATCCGTTTCCTCTATGTGCCAACCAACCATGTTTAACTACGAGCGTCCAAAACACTTTATCCAGTCTAAGAACGTGTGCCAAGGGCAACAGCAGCCTCCAGGACCTGCAGCAGCCTCCACAGAGCCAAGCAGAGAAATCAAACAGTCCTCCATCCTCATCCAGCCTCGTAACCCCAGCGGGCAGAAATTCTCCTCCTCGTCATCGCTGAGCTCTTCAATCACGCTCTCCTCGCCTTCCTGTAGCGCCCCTAAGGAATCCACCTATCCCATCACTCCTGCATCTGCACAGTCTCCTGCTAGCTCATCATCTGGCCAGAGGCTCCTGCCCATGCCTAACCAATCCCCCGCAGCCTTCCTGTGCTCCGTGCTCCCCTCGCAGCCCGACTATAACAGCCCCGCTCCTTCTCCCGTGGAACCTCAGTAAGTACACACGGCTTCTAACCCTCCCTGCTTCCCCCTGCCTGTCCCAGCACTGCCCACCCCAAAGCAACGCCCTGGCAGAGCTGGGCCCCTGCTCAGCCCCCGCTGACTGTGCTGGGCAGGGCACAGCCCGCGCAGGTCAGGGTAGGAGGCTGAGTGCTGGCCCTTGTGTGGAGTCAAACTGCGCTCTGGGCATGCCACAGGCTGCTGGCTGGGTTTGCTGGAGCTGGTTTGGATTATTTAGTTGGATTTGACAGAAATTTCTTAAAGTTATTTAGAATAGAAGACAGGCACCTATCTCAAATTAATTTCTTTCCAAAGCATGCCTTGTGAACAGGGAGACAGTAGTATTCCCAACACAACTTAGAGAGTCCTAGTAAGTCTCAGCAATATTTTCAGGTTCCATATCATGATGTGGACCTAAACTCACCTACAATACCCCTTTTATTAATCATACATATAAAAGAAAGGCAGCCCCTTGAAAATTTCACCCCTTCAGACCAAAGAATAAATTCTTTCCTAAATATGTATTATATCATTTTGCCTTTGGGCTGCAATCCAAATATCTTCCAAGGTCAGTGAGCTCTCAAAGGGAGCTGGGCCTTGCCTTCTCACCAACTTGTATTCCTGCCAATATCAGCTGGAGGTCCTGGGGAAAGTCAGGGTAGAATACACACAAAGTGAGATATTGGAAAGTTGATAGGGGCAGGGGGTCCTGCTGACTTGGATATAAACCCAGGTTTGAGTGTCAGTTTGCATTCAGGAAATCAGAATATTTCTGTCTGTTTTCTGAATCACAGCACTGAGGGAAGGGGAGAGGTAAGATGGGGTGTGTTATCTGGGGAGGGTTTCCTGAAGTCCTGCAGGAGTGTGGGGGGTGTGGGACACTGCTGGGGTTTGTGTTTGTAGTCTGGGGCTGCCTGTTTCCAGCAAAGTGCCTCACTATGCTTTTTGCATAGGCTGCTCTTAAATACAACATGCAATGAGTTGAAGAATTATTTTCCCAATCACGCTACTAATGTGCAAACAGGGACATGAGTTGTGTTCACCTGTGGGGCAAATCACTCAAGTTTTATAATTCACATTAAGTTTGTAAGTCCAAGCAGTGCTGGGAGTATTCTGGAATTATAACCCTTCTCCTCTAGTCTAGCCAGCAGAACAAATTCCGAAGCCACAGGAGGAAGAGGACTTGGAATAGAAATAATTTCTGAACACAAGTGCAGCACAGGAGGCCTCACTGCAGGTCACAAACCAGGTTAGAGCCTGTCAGCACAGAGTGCTGTGACCTCCAGCAGACCTTTGCAACCCATTCTGATGGCTGCTCCTCTTTTCCTGTCATCTTTCAGAATCAGATGTGGTACCCAGCTCTGGGAGCTGACTGTGCCTGTGGCTGTGGATGGCAGGGTCAGGCTGGGAGGGCCACTGCAGGCTGTAGGGATGCTGTGTAGTGAGGAAACTCAGTGATTTGGCTGCACCATGATGCTTCTTCCCCTTCAGGTTTTGATACTCAATTGCCCAGCTTGGCCTGTTCTCCTCCCAGATGCTTTGTGGGCTCATCTGAACCACAGTTCTCAGGAGGCAGGCTCACATTTTCGTGTGCACTCTGTGAAGCTGTAGCCAATAATCCACCAGGCCTACAGGAATAACTTGGTTTTCTCTTCCTGCATGAGCAGTTACTCACAGCCCATGTATAACAAACAAGCCAGCATCAACTCTATGCAGAAGACATCAGACCAAGAAATTCGAGGAACAAAGGAGGCCCTCATCCAGGACTTGGAAAAGAAACTGAGATGCAAGGACAGCCTCCTCCAGAACGGCAACCAGGTGAGGGCCAAGAGCTCCCAGGAGGGCAGGCAGGGGCAGAGGGGCAGCTGGGAGCCTCCACACTGAGCTAAAAGCCAAAGGAAATGCAGGAGCAGCACTGCTCTTTACTCAGAACCTCAACAGATCCCACGAGAGCAAAAGCCATTTATGACTGAAATATTCCTTCAATGTGAAAGAAAAAGGAACATGTTTAGAGCTGTGGCACAAATTTGAACTCTCTTCTGGGGATCCTGTTGAACATCACATCCATCCACAGAAAATTAAAAATCCAGGGAGAATGCCTCAATGACTACAACCTGGTTTTCAACACTGGGGTTAATAAACATCTCAAAACCATTAGAACCCGAGGAAAAATTAGAATATTTGAAAGTTCATTCTAGGGATCACCACCAAATGGGATAAATTTTTTCTTTTATATGAACAACAATAAATGAAAGAAATTATATGAGCTTTTAGCATAAAGCTATCAAAAAGCATATAATAATATCTCCTAAAAGAAGGCCTCTTAGTCTCAGTACTTATTTACTTATTCTGCAGAGGGTCACAAGAGAATCCCCCTTACTAAGAAATAAAAATCTGGGGGGAAATTTGCTACCAGTAGCAGCTAGAGCAGGCAGGTTTCTAATGTGGGAGCCTTTCTGCTGGCTGCAGGCAGACTGCTAAAAGCCCAGTGTTTAAAGTTTCCATCTTCTCTCCCCTGAAGCAGAAAGGAGTATTCTCATGATCATCAGTGAGACCAGGTTTGTGTCATACATGTAATTTTAAATATTGAATGGGCAAACAAATAGGTCAAATCTGACTGAATATGCCCCTAAACAGGAATGTCCTATGTGCTGTAGGAAAGCTTGTCATAGCAAGGCAGCTTTTCTTCCCATAGGAAGAAGCCAGGCTAAAAATAAGTCTTATGCAATCACCACAGTGTCCTCCTCCCCTTGTCCTCCAACAAGCCTGAGCCAACTGGCCAATCTCAGCCACACTTGACACACACGTAAGGACCTCAGGGATATCCAGCTCTCACAGGTTTTGCTGAAGGTCTTGTGGTCTCTTCTAAAGAAAAGTCCCACAAGGCTCCCAAGCCTTTCCCCAGCCAGGAGCAGACACATGTATATCTGTACAGGGCAGAAATTCAGTCAGAGCTCACCCTTGTGTCACAAAATCCAAACCTGAGCGAAACTTTGTGGGCAGCAAAGTGTCAGGTGCTCTGGTGCTAACATACTTTTCTAAAGTAACCCAACTGACAGAGCTTGAGTTCAACTCTGCTCATTTTTATCCCTGTGTGCCACATCCAGAGTGCAGGAACTGACTGTGCCGTGCCTGAAACGTGTCCTTGCCTCCTGCCCAGCATTTCACCCTGCAGATGTGCTGGCAGGAACCTCCCCAGTGCTTCCAGGGGCAGTGCTGCTCCCCTCTGGCTGTGCCTGCCTCTGGTGTGGCTCTTGCTTTTTTGGGAGCATCCATCATCCTCCAGCTCCACAGCTGAATGACTTGGGAAGTTTTCCCAGCCCTAACAGAAAGGTACCCTGGGACTTACTCTGGCTTCTGTGGATGATGCCATCAGCTACCCATAAATAATCCCAGCAGAGAAAGAGGAGGAGTGGAAGGCCACAGATGGCATTAGGGAGGCTTTGATGAACAGGCAGTTTAATCTTTTATGCATTTCAGTGCTGTATATATTGAGGCTGACTTCAGTTGGCATCACAGACTGCAAACCCTCTGGGCCAGACGTGGGGCTTCTGGTCAGCTCCTGCTTCCACTGACAGCATCCTGAACTTGTGGCACATTAATGTGCTCTTAACAAGCTGCTCTGAAATAGTGAATGGACTTCTGACTGGAATTCCTGTGCACTCTGCCCCCAGAGACTGACCTATGAGGAGAGGATGGCTCGCAGGCTGCTCGGACCAGTGAATGCTGCCTCCGTGCTGGACACACAGGCTGAGGACAGCATGCAGAATGCACAGGTACCTGGCACTGCCTCTGCAGCAAGGGCTCCCTGGGGCTGTGCTGTGCTGTGCTTGTTCCCTGGGGGGGCAGTGATGGGGTTCATTTGGTGCCATGCAGGTGAGGGGTGGCTCTCAAAGGCAGAGCTCTCCGTGGCTGGGGTTTGGTGTTTTCACAGGGGGAAAATTCAAGCACCATTCCCTTGCTGTGCCTGATCTGTAGGAATGACCTCTCCAGGGAGGAATTCCAACAGCTGCTGCACAGCACAGCACCCAGTGCCTGTGACAGGCAGGGAGCAGCACCACGAGGGAGCCAGGTACCCACTCCCAGCAGCCTGAGTGCAGGCTGGGCCAGGACAGCAAGATTTACACCTGCCACTGCTGGGAACAAGTGACATTGGCTTCAAGAGGTCACGGCCTTGGGCTGGCATTGGTTGGGTTTTGGCCCTTGCAGGGGGCTGCAGCCATTAAGGGAATGCAAAGCAGTTATTCCAGCAGCCCACACGCTGACAGATTAGAATCTATCACTACTGGCTTTTTCCAAAGTGTTTTAGTTGGAGACTTGCATCATTTGTTGGTTATTCAGGCCAGTTAGAAGCTGTCTTTGGTGCTTCTGTGCTCAAAGTTAGTGGAAATGTCTGTGGTGTGGCACTGGGTACCTGTGCAGGACAGAAAACACCTCCTGCTGCCAGCAGCAGAGAGCCAGGAGCAGGCACACACTCACCAAAGAGCCCTCAGCAAAACTGCTGCAGGGAACAGACACTTGAGACCACAGCAAAGGAGGGATACACAGTTTGAGCTGTCTCTCCCCAACAATCACCTGGCGAGATCAGGAAAGAAGGAGAAATCATGAATGGCAGAGAGCAAGGGAAGCCTCATCTTTTGCAGACAACAGGGAAATATTTAGTCAAAACAGGATGGCTGACAACTTTTCAGCATGTGTGAAATGCTGCTTTAAAAAAAGAACATTGGAAGCAGAGATTGGCTTATGTTTGGGACATCTTACTTCCATTGTTCAGTCTTATTTTTAAATATTGCAGTCACTGATTCATTCAGCCTCCTGATTCCTCAGGAACTTAACTCAGTCCATGTAACAGGTCATTAGAATCCTCAGCAACTTCACCACTACAGCATAATTTCATAGGACAAGTGCTAACTGTACAGAACTTGTGTAAATGAGCAGATACAGGCAACTGCCTTTGGACTCCACCTGAAACTCAGCCCAGCAAAACCCTCATTCATGTCATATTCCCCCTGAACTTAAAACTGCTTCCTTGCTTGAAGTTTAAACCCAGACTTAAATGTTCCACAGGACTGGGCTGCAGAGCACAGAACCAAGCCCTGGGATGGCTCAAGGCAAGCACTCCAGAAATTTCCATGCAGTGCTTGCTCTCTCTGACTCCATTGCTAAAACGAGTCGCTGGCACCAAACCCCGTCGCGTTTTCCAAACATCCTGGCTCCTAACAGGAATCAATCCTGGGTACTTTAGCAGATTTAGCCATGTGATTTCAGAGTTGTCAGCGAGCTTAGCTGGTGCTGTGATCTAGAAAGAAAAGTATTTTCCAGCTCAGCATGTGTCCATGGCTGCTGGTGCCATATTTAAGTGGGCACAATACGAGGCTCCTGCCAGCGATTCCACTTCTATTCCTGCTGTGGGGAAGGACACTCTGTACTCAGCTCTCAGTTTAGATATTGCCAGGAGTGCTGCTCCTCTCTCACAAAGGTTATGGGCTGGCAGAAAATTTTGTGTGCCAGACAAAGCTGCTGCACCCATCACCTGGGCAGCAATGAGAAGTTCTGCCATGGCAAAGCCCACGGTGAGCACAGAGTGTCCTCATGCAAGTTCCTCTGCCTCCTATCCCAAGGACTTCTGAACTACATTCATTTGGTTTTGAAGCAGCAGTCAGGATATGAACTTAAAATGGCTTCTCATTCAGTTTATGGATAAATCTTTCCAAGTGAACTCACCTCTCCTCTTTCTCTTCCCAAGCACCAGAATGCAGAAAACATCAGGCTGCAAGTTCCTACAACACATGTCAGGTAAAGCAAAAACTTGTGCTGTGCTATTCTTCAAGATCTTATTTCAAACATTTCTAGACAATGTTGGTTTAATCTCACTGCTTATCATTTTTGCTAAAGTAGTAATTACTAAATTCACTGCCTTTTGACTAAAATGCTACCATTTGTGGATGGGTGATGATGCCTATGATCTTAATCCAGTGAATTCTAAGCATGGCATTAAAGGTTTAAAAACTCCTAGGGAGTAGGGAAATGCAACTCCCGTGCACCTTGGAAAAATATTCTTTGTATTCTAGAAGATTAATTTCTATCAAAGAAATATAAATATTGAAATGAATATAAATTATTAAAATTAAGCAGCCAAGTTTCTCTTGTTAAATCTTTTGGATATTAGGCAGTAATGAAGGTTATTCTTGTATGCTGCATTGAACAATTCAAGCAAGAGAAGTGGCTGATCAAAAGTTATGACTTACAGCTGAAAAACCAACCAGAACTGTTAGATTCCTAAAGGTGTTGAGGGACTCCAGCTGCAATCAGAACTTTGATTCCACTTGTGCTTTTACACAATTAACTCTTCCTGTCCCATTTTCAGGAGCAGACCATCCTCTAGAGGCGACGATCGTGGACATGACTCAATCCAGGAGAAGTTTTTTCAGCCACGTTTCACTCAAGTGCCTGAAGATGTGGTGATTGAGGAGGGCCGGTTCTGCAGGCTGGACTTCAAAGTAATGCCAACCTCTCCCTTCCCAATTCCACTGCCAACCTCTCCCAGTTCCATTGCCAACCTCTCCCTCCCCAATTCCACTGCCAACCTCTCCCAGTTCCATTGCCAACCTCTCCCTTCCCAATTCCACTGCCAGCCTCTCCCAGTTCCACTGCCAGCCTCTCCCTCCCATTCCATTCCCTCTTGGGGTGTGGGGCATGCAGACAGCTCTCTGCAGTGCCTTTGACTTTAATAAGCCAGAGCACTAAGGGCAGATGGTTCAGGGTCTCCCCAGGCTATGGAAACCAAGAAACAGGAGATGGCTAAATATGTCAGCATTTTCCTCAGGAAAATGTAAGTGGAATTAACTGCATAAGATTATGATTAAAGCTAAATAGTGGTAAATATAGACAACTACAGAACATCTCTGGACCTCCTTGGGAAGAATAACTATTAATGCTCTGCTGAAAAAAGGCTTTTTGGCAGGGAACCTTGTGCTTTGCACAGGAACTCCACTGCTTCAGTGGACACACGTCCAGCGAGGTCTGTGCAGGACTCACCTCCCTTTAGTGAGTCTGCCCTGAGCTAACTGTACCCTTGCTGGAGCAGACAGGCAAGGAAATGCCCTAAATAGAAACAAAACTCAAGAATGGCCTAAAATTCATGGCAGCTGTACCAACCCTGGGGTGAGAAAGGACCCTGCTCTCCCTCACAGCCTTGGATTTTCCTAATGAGTGCCCACCTCTTTGTTTCAGTAAACTCTGGCCAGACTTACACATGGCCTTTAGCCATCTTCCTCCAGGTTGCCCAAACTTCTGGACGCTGTGGGGAAGCTGGAGCATGCCTGCAGGACAGCTCATTTACAGCCATTGTCAGTTATGGTGTCAGCACTGCAGCAGTGACAGCTCTGGGAACAAAAGGCTGAACCCAAAATCAGCATCTTGGGCCTGATCAAAGCCACCCACAAGAAGGGAACAACGGGGGGGTGCAGGAGCAGCATCCACTGTCTTGTAGCTAAAGCTCATCTTATCTTTCCACAGCACTCCCTGAGCCTTTCTGTGCAAGATCCCATTAATATTCAGAACTAGGCAATACTGTACAGCTTTGCAGTAGGAGCATGGTTTGATCACCTATCAGCATCAAACTCCCTGTAGTGCTGGAGGGATTTCATCATCTTTAACTCTTCCCTGCTCTCCTCTCCCTCACAGGTCAGTGGGCTCCCGACTCCAGATGTGATGTGGTACCAGAATGGAAGGATGGTTCATCAGGATCAGTTCCATAAAATGATAGTGTCAGAAAAGGGGTTCCACTCGTTCATTTTTGAAGCAGTCAAATCAGCTGATGCAGGGACATACGAATGTGTGGCTGTCAACCGTGCAGGAGAAGCATCTTTCACAGTAAAAGTGGAAGTAATTGGTAAGACTGAGAGCACTGATAATTCCCTGGAACACACTGGGAAAGTCTCAGCAATCTACTGCTTTTCTCCCTGTGTTTGGGACATTAACGTAATAAGAAGCAAAGGTTGCACTCTGCATACCTCAAACAACTTACCTGTTCCAAGACTATTTTAATAACTACATCTAGGATGCAGTATTTCTTCAAGGCACTTCTATTGGGATATTTAGATATAGTGAGATGTCCAGAATATATATTTAGATACAGTGAGATGTCCAGAATTTAATTTAATTGATGTTATTAATTTCCCAGGATTGATAACATATGTTAATTGCTCTCCTTCTAAGGTGGACTGTGTTTACCACACCCTTTAGTTCATGGGAACTGCCTGCAGGCTAAGGAGATGCAGGAGATGAGGAACATGTGTCCTCCTGAATTTAGCAACCCGAAATCTTAAAGAACAAGCATGACATGAGCATTCCACACTTCCAGTAACCCCTCCTTATCTCTCCTCTTTAATTCAGCTAAAGAGCATCACATGCCTCCAACTTTCATTTTCAAGCCACAAAGCAAAAAGGTTTTTGAGGGAGACACAGCCAGGCTGGAATGCCAGATCTCTGCCATCCCAACCCCTCGGATTTACTGGAAAAGAAACAACGAAATGGTACAATATAATACAGACCGAATAAGGTATCCCACTGCTCAGCTGGCCATCGGTGTGTTACAAAACAGCAACCAGTGTTTGCTCAATCAGGTGTAAATGGGCTGGTCTGTGTAAGCAGCAGGCTGCAGAGCTGGATCTGCCCTGGGGTGTGGCACAGGGGGCAGGGGCCATGTGCCGAGAGCCTTTGAGGGCACAGAGGGACAGAGCTGTGCCCAGGGCTCCTCTGAGTGCCTGCAGCACTACAGGGCCCCTGGAGAGGCACAGATCTTGGGTGTGCAGTGTGGGGCTGCACACTGATGCCACCTGCATGGTGCCACGATGTGAATCGCTGGTGGCTCTGACACAAATGTTCATGTCTCAACGGTGTGCAGGGATTGTTCTGGGGCTTTCTCAGCTCCTCAGCATGTGGACTGACTCTGCTTTCTCTCCTTCCCCTTCAAAGCACTTAGGCATTAACACCTTGGTTTTTCAGCTTGCTCCATGACAATACTGGAAGGATCTGCCTCCTGATCCACAATGCAACCAAGAAGGATGCTGGCTGGTACACCGTGTCTGCGGTCAACGGGGCAGGGGTGGCCACGTGCCATGCCAGGCTAGAGGTTGCAAGTAAGTTCCAGGCCCCAGTGCCACAGAAATTGCATCTTATATTCAGAACTGGCCCCCAAGATTAATCTCAGGAAGTTCAGACTGCTGGGAGGATTTATTTCCCAGACAGAAAATAACTATCCTGGGAAAAGCTCTTTTCTTTAGTACAGGACACTGTGGAGTGTCCTTTTGCACTTTTAAAGACTACAATTTCCCTGACACCAAGCAAGAAGGTGAATATAAATCTCTGGTGTCTGAGATATGGGTTTGTCTGCTAAATTCTTCCCTAGGGCTTGCTGGTTTATATTGCAGATCAAAAGCAATGGGGTTGCTCTGCCATGGGTCTTTGTGCACTCTGGGAAGGCACTGAAAGAGGCTTTTTCTCTCTCTTCCAGCACATACAAATAAGCCACTTCCAGCCCCAAAGCAGTTACGGGTTCGACCAACCTTTAGCAAGTATTTGGCACTTAATGGAAGAGGACTGGATGTGAAACAAGCTTTCTCACCAGAAGGGGAATTTCAGCGTTTGGCTGAGCAGTCTGGACTGTATGAAAGTGATGAACTTTAACTGGAAATGAAGAGGAAAACCTCACACCCATAAGAGACAGTTACAACATAGATGCAGTTAACTGGTGATTGCTCTAATTAGCAAAATACCTACTTGCATATTTTTACTTTGACTCTTGCACATTCAGCTGTTCCCGTTTTACCATGTTAGACTTTATTTATATGGTTTGGTGACTGTAACCATTACTGAGTATTGCATTTTAACTAGAAAGCCTAAGAAAGCAGGTTAATTAGTTTTAACAAGTGTGGGTGGGCTTAGTTCCACCTGTGCTTGGTTACATGCTAAGGTAGCTTGATTTGTACTGCTTCTCTAATATCACTCGTGATAATACCAGGAGTCTGTACTGTCTGAATACTAAAACCAAATAGAGTAGAGTGTTTTTATGAGAATACATTAGAGGCAAATAAAATTTTAAATAGCCAACATCAGCTGTGACTCTTCCTCGCTTGATCTGTTAAAAGCAGATTTGAATGTCTGACATCAGCTGCAGCCTGGGAAAGATGGGTTCTTACCCTCCTAAGCTTCCCACTTGTCCCCTCCCCTGTCTGTTCCCACTGTCATTTGTCATCTGGCATATACCAAATATTTAGCATAAACTAAATGCTGACACCCTATTAACACTACACCATGCCAGTGAGGCAACACCAATATTTCTTCTCCTTGCACACTTGACCCAAAAGTTGCCCTCTATAATATCAGTCATTAGGGCTATCATGTTTTCCCTCCTTTAATCAAGGAGTGGTTGCAACTTATCCTGCTGTTGGCTCTCAACAAGCTGTTGATTTGAGTCACCCAAGTGGTTTGTGTGCTGCTCTTCACAGACACCTTGTTCAAAAACAGTATTAAACACCATGGAACAAAACCAAAACTGGAGACCTTTCAACTGTACTGACTACAGAAAATTTGTGGGGGTTGATCTAGCCTGACCTCCTCATCAAGGTGCAGAGTCAGCAAACCTCTCAAGCATCTTCCAGAACAGAAAAAATGAGGCCTCAGTTTCACCCTGCATTGCTGTACCATTAAATAACCCCCCAAATCTGAACTGCATTACACTGACTATTAAATTCCCCAAAAATCCTGCAGCTCTATGACCACACATCTCCTCTGGGCTGCCCAAGTGATGAAATACACTGAGATAACTCCCCTGTTGCACATTTGGAGATGGAGCTGATCACATGAAGCCAGCACCCAATTTGCCCACAGGCTCCACTGGAAGGTTGGAAAGTCTGCAGAATTTCTCTGGCAGGTGTCTTTACACACAAATGGAAAACCTGAGGTGCCCCACAGTCTTTACCAGCAATCACAGTGTCAGCTGTACCTCATTCAGCCCTCACTCCTTACCCCACACATCATCCGCCCAAAAATGTCCCTGCAGTGGAAATGGCTCTCAGTTCCCAGCAGCACAACTTAGTGACAAGTGAGAATGGCAGAGCAAGGTTAGAAGCTGCTGTCACCCCCTAAATTCAGCCTGTGAGCATCCATCCCCCCCTTGCCCCTTCTCACTGGTGAGTTCAGGGTGCTGAGCACAGACGTGAGCAAAGCCACGTCCCAGCTCTGCCTGGAGCCCTCCTCTTCTGAGCATGGCAGGAGCAGCTCTGGGAGCTGATCTCTGGAGGGCAAGGCTTTCCTTGTAAACATGTTTTCATGTAAAGAAACAAGAAGAAACTCCCAGTGTTAGTTCAGAGCAACCTCACCTCGTGGTTCCCCAAAACCTTGTGCTAAATGTTGTGTTTTCAGCTCAGGAAAGGCAACCAACTCCTTCAAATGCATTTGGAGAAATTCTGGGTACAAACAATGCTGAAACTTCTGAATAACCAGCCTAGGAAAACAATGGGCTAATTGCTGCATCATACACTCAACACAAGGAAAAAGTCTTCAACAAAAAATAATTTCATGGTTTGCAAAGGGATCCCTGTTGGATGGACTCTGCTGGGACAAATGATACCACAACACAACATTAACCCTCCCAAACAACAGCAGCCACATTTGCACAAGGAGCAGCCCAGGTTCACCAGCTGAAAGGAGGCAACAATACTGGCTCCATTTACCTGTAATTTCACACGTTTTAGCATGCTTACAGAAAATGCCATTACTGAGCTGAGGACAGGTCTGACTTCAGTCAAGGAATCAATCTGAGCAAGTAATCCTGTCTGAGCACAGAAATGTTTTGAAAGTGCCACAATTCTGCAGTCAGTAACAGCCATGAGTGCAATTAGCTGAGCTTTTCTCTTGTTTACATTGAGATAAACCATGGATTTGTTTTTGTGCCAACATTAAAGATGGGTATTTGGCATGGGAAATCCATAGCAGAGACAGGAAGAACTGGAAAGAGCAAGCCCAGTTGAGCAGAAGCACATGTTAGTGTTCCTATCTCCTCTATCATCTCTGGAGGAATCAATTAAAGGAGGCCTGAATTTAAATCACATATTTATAAATTGGAATCAGGCAAAAATACTCTGGAAATGCTCTGCTTCACACACTTCATTTAGCACTGATTTAGCACATAAGAGAGACCACATGAACATGCCTGAGTAACAATGAGCTATGTAAACCAGAGTTGTTTCATTTAAGGTAATGAAATAAGGTTTTAAAGTAATAAACTGCCTGGCCCATCTTGGGTGAAATCCAGATTAATAAGCAATTGTTGTTTTGTGAAGGTACTGAGTAACTAAATGAAGGCACTGGGAATATGCTAAGGCTGTGTATCTCCTGAGTACTTCATGTAGAGAAAAGTATTATTTCAAGGTCTGCCTTCAGTGGTCACTTTTGCATGCAGAAGAACACAAAGACTAAGAAGGAATACAAAATAAAAATCCAGGCTTACATCAGTGCAGGTTCTATAAGCTGAGCTGCTTTGTTTCCCCATTTCAGAGAGATGGAAATACTCCTCAGCCCCCTCATTATCCCCATGGAACTGGTATCCATGGGCTGGCCCAGCAGTGGAGGACATAGCTTCACCCAAATCAAAGCAGGAGAGTGAGGAGAAGTTGGTGTTTCTCAGGCAGAACAGCTCCCCAGAGGAACCAGAGCTGCATTAATCATACTGGTGTTTGTATTTCATAAACATAAATGTGTATGTATTTCTCAAGATGTAATGCTAATGTGAACCTCTTCTGGATAATCAGGTGAGCTCCTACCTTTGCTATGTGTGAAATCCAATTTACTGAGGCATGATGCTTCCATAAGGGCACCTCAGGCATTTGCAGCCACTTTTCCTCAGGTAGCAGCTGGCAAGACAATAATTCATTAAAAATGAAGAAATCAGTGAGATCAGGGAGCAGACCCAGATCCATCCTTCCCATTTTTGGCAATAGTTGGTGTCTGGTCTATGCACTGGTTGCTGTTGGCTGTTGGGAAAGATTTCCCAGCTTTTTCAAGGCCAAAGTCTGGATTATTAGTCCTTGTTATTAGCAGTATTAGACAATTAAGGCCTGAGATGATTCAAAGGGATTGTATTTATCACCAGCCCCCAGTTTTTCCTGGCACTGAGGCTGCTCTCAGCTCCCCACACCCCTCCCACGTGGAGTCCATCAGATCAGTCACGAGCGGTGTTGAATCCTGTGGCCTTGACAAGTCTCATGTTGCCTCTTTGTCATTGCACCCATCACTTAGGGAGCTACAACCACAGTAAAACTGAGAAAGAAATGCTTCAGAAGTGCCTAGAACTGGCTGCATTTGCTGCTGTGGGGGTGAGTGACCCCATGACTTCACCTCTGTGTTTGCCAGCCTTGGCCAGCCCTGCCTAAAGAGCCCCAGTGTGAGCCTGGTTAGGCTCAGTCTAACCTGTCCTACCCTGGAGGGGCTGCACAGCCCAGGGTCCAGGGCCCCTTTCTGGCCTTGCTGTGGCTCTGTGTCCTCCCCACTCGTTATCCACCCTGTTTGCTTTAGCCTGGATCCTGGCAGAGCAGGGGAACTGGAGCACAGCAGAGCTGGCACAGTGAAACTGGGATGTGAGACACAGCACAAACACAAGAGGTTTGGCCAGAAAAGCCTCATATATATACAGCTTATGACAAAACACCCAACAAGCTCAGGTTCTTCAAATCCAGCCATTTTTGAAGCCAATCCAGTCTTCCCTGTGCAGAATGACAGCCTGAAGGGAGCACAGGGAGCTGGGCTGCATCTCCCTGCTCCTGCTTTCATTCAGGATCCATCCTTGTCCTTGCCTCCAACGCCTCCTGCCCTGGAGGAGGGTCCCTGCTAAAGGAAGAGCTGCTGGCTGATGCCCAGCTTGGATGTCTCTCCAGATTTCTGTTTCCTTGCATCCTGGTAAGTTCTTTACCACAACATGTTGTAAACATGCTGTCAACATCTTCCTTCCCTGGATAAAATATTGGCTGAGACTCCTTTCTCTGTACTCAGGAATCACAGTGTTCCTCAGCACAGCATAAATGTTCACTTTTACCTTTCCATGGGTGAGTTGCAAAGGTGCAGCTCAAAGGGAGAATTCTGTTTACAAGATTCCAGAAGGGTTTAAGATTACCTCCCCCTCATGAACATGGGTCATGCAAATTCCAAGCTCATCTAAAAAAAAATGTTGCACGTGGGCAGCTGTCTCCATTGGAGCAGCTGGGAAATGACCACAGGCAAAGAGCCTCCCCAAGCTCAGCCTTTCCTAGGCCCATCTTAGCCAGGTATGAGCTGTACAGACAGCCTGGCTGTAAGAGAAGAAGGCAGTCATACCTTTGTAGCCAAAAGCTGTTTAAAATGTAGCTACTTCCTAACTGCAGAAAGAGGCAAAATGTTCTGACCTTGCTTCATGACTGCCTTCACACCTAATTTAATTGCATTTTTATTTGCAAATGCACATGCTGACCTCTGGATAGAGAGTGCAAACTTCTCCAAAATTAGGAACACCTTTGTTCCTAACCAGGTGCTCTGGGGCCAAACCAATGGAGACAGTGCTGAGGAAAAGGTGGGCTTTATTCTTTCCTGTAATCCTAGAAACTGCTGGTTGCATTTTGGAAATTGAAGAATACAAAAGGAGTCACAGTTGCCCC